CGATTTTTACTTTTTTTACGAAATAAAATTATGCACTACACTGCAAAACAGTCAAGTACTTAGAGTTTTTCTCGGTTGGTGTACTGTCTTGCTGTAGGTGGTGCAGTTTCCTAGTCCTTCCTGGAAAACGAAATACCTAGTAAAACGATGTGTATGGCGGCGCTAGATTTTGTCATCCTCTTGGGATAAAACATTAACTACACTGAAGAGACTATTGACCATAAAAGTGGACGGGCCAGGAAATGACAATCAATCCTGACACTGAATTCCAAAATCCAACTAGATGAGCGCATCTGGTATAATGTACTTTTCAGGTGAGAGAGGGAAGGTAGTAAAGTTATGTTTTTCATCGTGAGCTATGTTAGTTTCTTCATACCGTCGTAATATTCCAATAAATCATTGGATATTCATGTTGGAAGAAGCATGTATAATCTACGCAACATGTTCTTCTATTATAGTTTTGTGTCCAGAATAGGAAGCTGAAGTCATCTCTTAGAGCCAGCGCCGTGGCAGCAAAGAGACAGGACAAACTAGAGAGCGGCCGCAGACCATCTTATATTTCGAAAGAAAATTCCCTGCATGAAATGCAGTGAAGCCGCCATGAGCAAGAACAGACACACAAGTGAGGGAACTCTTTATAGGCTTAAAGCATATCACATGAACCGCTGAGAAGATAGGTCTGTCTGGACGCCAGCATTACAGTTTACGAATTACGATTACGATTTACAAATTACCATGTGGTGGAGATGGTTACGGTAAGTGGCGAACTACAATTCGCCACTGTGTTTGGGTGTGCTCTCGTTTTAATTCAACTTAATTAAAAGTGTACGTTCTTAGTCGTCATAGCAATATGCTAATATGACCACGGTCCAATTTTATGCTAATCTCCCGACGCGACCCGACGGTCACAGGATTTTCGCACTAGCCAGAGAGCTAGGTCGGGTACTGTCGCTGTCGGATGGAACATTCTAATGTCCGGCTGCTTTGATTGGTAGTTTTCCGTGGTTTCTCCGATCAATACCAGGCGAATGCTGGAGTAGTACCCCATCAAACGGGCCACGGACCGCGCGCGATATCTCACTCCTATTCCTTGACTTATCCTCACACCTTACACACACCTACACATATTACACCACCACACATGCCGGGAGACCGGTCGCGAGTTTAGACTTTGCCCCGGCTGGAACGGTACCCCTCCGGTGGGAGATACATCGTTAGGGGAAAACCCCGCTAATCGACGGTAGGTCAGCGCCGGATCTCGTCATCCAGCGGGGCAAGATCACCGCCATCTCAGGAGCAAAACATACTCTACTCTATACTTACGGGACTAATGTCCTTAATAGATGACACGCCAAGAATCACTAGTAATCAATCAATCATTACGCTAATCACTTATTAGAAAGATAAATGGCAGATGCTACCGTCTACCCATTTGCTTTTGCCACGCTGCGGACTGGATGTACGCTAAAGAAGAGGCGTACGCAAAGCTCATTAAGCCCTGTACATGAAACGTGTGCACCCAGTCGTATGTACCAACTTAGTTGGCTCAGGAGCAGATGAAGTCACCGCAGTGCCTGTGATCTAGGGTTTGAGTTCCATGCGCGGCAGGATTTCCGACATAATAATGTCGAAAGCTATTAAGCTAGGTCGAATTCAACTGTTGACTGAATGGGAATTCTAGCGGATAGCTGCTCTGGCCGGTAGTTTTCCGTGGGTTCTCCGATCAACACTAGTACCTTCACAAACGGGCCATGGAACGCGCGCCTGATACTTCCTTCCTCTTCCTTGTCATATAATCATTACTTACTTAGACACACTTATGCGTACAAGTACTACACTAATGCACATGCCGGTGAGCTTGTCCCGGATTGTGTGGGATACATCTGGTTAGGGAAAATCCCACTGGCCGAAGTGTAGGGCGGCGCATCATCTGACTATTCAACTGGGGAAGATCACCTCCCTAGGAAAATATGCAGTACAATTACGGGACTAATTATTTTCGCACTTGACGCGACCAGAAACATTAGTAAATTATTCAATCAAACCGTCGTTTGAGGCTGACCTTAGGTCCCTTGACTATTTATAGTTGATAAGTAATCTTGAAACTGAAGTAAGCGTCTTACTGTTGGTAAAAAATATTAACGTAAGTATTCTGGCTGCGTCTGACAGACACGAAATAGAGAATTACTTACTGCGTAGATGTAGTTAAAATGGCTTGTCGAAGCCGGGCTACCCATACTTTTAGGCTCATTCAATTGTAATCCGTACCGCTCAGAAGTATATTATTGTGACTGTTAAAAAAAGTCAACGTAACTTACATTTTTAGCCTCAATCTAATACGTAAACAAAGCTTCATTTACAGCAAATTAATGAATTATTTCACTTCTAAGCTATATCACCTTTTTCATTTTTCCAGCTTTATTTCCAAAAACATCATAGATAATAAAAATCATTAGGCAGGCTTAATTCCTGAAATACAAGAGGGATATTTTGAATTCAAATTACACTAGTGATGCTACAGAATGACACAGACTTTCCTGTATTAGTTTTTTATTTCCTTTGGTCTCGGTAAACTATTCGACTTTCCCACATATTCTTGCCTGCTGCCATCTATCGCCGCCCAAAATACATTTTTTTGACATTTTCCTTATTTTTCATTTTTCTAATAGGAGAGCGGAAATATTATTTTAATATTATTAAAGTAGAGCTAAATCTCGTCGTAAATGGCACTTTCCTTTAAACAATTTGGACGTTACGAAAAAAACACTTTTTCGGTATCATGAGACACCAACACGTGTATTTCCGTCAAAATTTCGGAATTAATTTTCCACAGCATTACATAACTTTCCCTATACTATCTATATATCTTCGTATATACGTACGTATACTCGAAAATAAAAAAAAAACAACTAATGTAGAATGCAATAAAAAAACATATTAGCTAGAAAACTTGTAGTTTTTTTTATGATAATGAGATAGCATCTGAACGATACGGTAACGCTGGATACTCTTTCCACCATGATTTTTCGATGCACGTCAACTGCTGTGGTCATTAGTTCCGTAAATGTAGAGCATGTTTTTTTTCTCGAGGGGTGGCGGTGAACGTTCTTCTCTGTGTAGTGATATTCAGTGATCACGTACACGTCGGCTAGTGGGGTTTCCCCAACCAGGTATTTCCCACACGCGGAGCACGGCGCCAATGACAAGCTCTACGCTCTCGACATGTGTGGTAATGAAGTGCATCTAAGTGCATGTGCGTGTGTATGTAAAGAGTGACGATAGGAAAACGAAGAAGAAGGGCAAATCGCGCGTAATCCGTGGCGCACATCGTTGGGTCCTGCTCCGGCACTCGCCTATGTTTGATCAGAAAAAAACACGAAAAACTACTGATCAGAGTAGCTGCTGCTAGAATTCTCGTTCAATCAGCGTGTCGAATATCCGGTCACCGCCAAGAGTTCAACCCTAGGTCACAGGAATTACAGTGACATTGACGGATGCCCTGAGCCACCTACACCGGCAAACCACGGAAAACAACCGGAGAAATGGGACTGAAATTCAACATCAGACACTTCGACAAACACGTTCGACACGATGAATGCTTCAAAAACTTCTTTCTATGAAATTCTCTCACAAATCGGTAAACATCTCATACAAATCGGTCAGTATTCGGTCAATTTCGATGAATTTCCGGATTGTTCGTTAAAATCGTATGTATATTCACCAGTTAACTCAGAGGTAATCATACTTACGCCCCGAAAAAGTTTAAAATATTTTCAAAACAGCTAGGATTAAAAAAAGAGAAGAGAAAATGTAATTCAAATTTTTCGGCAAGTTTCTCTTTTGTCAGCTTTCTCAAAATAATTACCCAGACATTTCTACGTACGAATGGATTGAATGATTGAAGATTCCGGGAGCGCCAACTACTTGAGTCATATGTGAACAAGTTTTGTATCGCAGGAGGAGGTGTTGATGATCCCCTGCTAGATGGCGTGATGCGGCGCCGACCTAACGTCGGTACGTATAGTGCATGTAAATAGGAGTGTATGTACGGACTGACGAGAGAACAAGGAAGAGGAAGGAATGATCACGCGCGATCCATGGCTCGTTTGTCGGGATATTGCTCAGGTTTTGATCAGAGAAACCACGGAAAACTACCAGTTAAAGCAGCCTTCCGCTACGATTATTCTCCAGCCATTGGGTGAATTTGTCCTAGTTCGAGTAAAATATCCTGCCGCCTTCGTAACTCGATCCATAGGACCTCCCGGTCAGGCATTGCATTGACATCGATGCCCGAAGTCACCTAAGCCAGTAAGTATAAGTGGAATTTTCCCCGTAAATATGAAACTTTTGCGTATTGCCAACATGGTATTGAAAAATACCCTTCATCAGTGTGTCCTAACGTTATTCATCGTAATGTTTATATTAAAGATTTTCCTTCTTAAGTTTAAAATGATCGGGAGTAGATTTTTAAAATGATTGGGAAGAAATTGTTATGGTTAGCACTGACAACACCTTAACCGCTAAAAAGCAACAAACGCGCCTCTGGGTAGGAACTCACCTGTGCCTGAGACGAAACGTGTGACGAGCGTCGAGCGACGAGTGATGACCGACGAGTGACGACCGACGAGTGATGAACGACGAGTGACGAGCGACACCTGGAGGCTGTGCACGCCAGCTGCCGACACCGCTGCTACTGTCGAAGTCTCCGCAACGAAAAAGTCCCTGCGCTTCTGACAGTCACTATCACACGCGAGAGTGGCGACGCGAACGATGCCACTGGCGGGGCGATGCCACAGCGACTAATGACGCCTCCAGCAAGACACGCCAACTCCCCCTCCCCATCACTTCCCCAGTCACACTGCCGCCATTACAGGCACTGCCGCGCCATTGTCACCCCCTCCCCATTCGTCACAGGTGCCGTTGCTACCATCACCGTGACCACCGCCTCTATCCCCACCCGTCATTCCGCCTCCGCCGTCATCGTCGCGACCGTCACCAACATCGCCTCCACCACTGACGCCGCCGCCGCCGCCATTGCCACCGCGCCGCCGGGACTGTCCGCGCTGGCCCCAGACACCAGAGCCCTCTGGCAGTAATCTGCCAGAGTCCTGGCTTCGCTGCCCGACGAGGCACCTGGAAGGGGGCGCGGTGGGCGGCGGAGGACGAGGAGAGGGGATGGGAAGCGCTCAGAGCAGCGGGACATCCGCTCATCTCTCTATCTGTGCTTCACAGACCAATGATTGTAGCGTTTTTGAAAAGAATCTTTGTCGTTGGAGCAAAAGACGACATTTTGATTTACAGGAGCGGAACTAAAAATTAAGCGTTCATATTTCGGCTAATCTCGGTTGAAATAGCACACAGCCAGCTGGACCAGACTCTTGAAGCGACCCTGATTGAGATGTCCTAGAGGTCGAGCCCCAACGGGGGCGGAATTTCGATACTAGCTGGATAGCTTGGTCGATCTCAGCCGCTGTTTGGAGGTGAAGTCTAGAGGCAGGGTGCTCTGATCAGTAGTTTTCCGTGGTTTCTCCGATCAATAACAGGCGAATGCCAGAGTAGAGCCCCAACAAACGGAGATGGACCGCGTGCGATCTTTCCTTCCACTTTCTTGTCCTATCCTCTAACGTAGTTGCACTCCCACTTTCAAGACCACATACGTCTGGAGTTGTGCGAAACTGCCCCTCTGGGGAAGACATACCTGTGCGAATACCAGGTAATACCTATGTAATACCTATGCGAATACCTATGTAAACCAACGTATACAGCGGCGCTGAATCTCACCATCCAGCGGGGGAGAATCTCCACCAAGTTCTGGGATAAAACCTTCACTCCACTCACAGCAGTGGACGTGCCAGTAAATATCAATCTATCAATGAATGTTTTCCAATACATCGAATTTGAATTTCCACTAGAATTTGGGACGAGGTTACCACTTATTCAATTCCTCGTCCGCGTAAAGCATGTTTTTGTTTCAAATTGGATATCCAGCAACTCAGGGATCAACTACCGCACTTGACATATATTTTTCAAGAAAACAAATAGGATGTGGCGCCGACCTACAGGTCGGCTTGCGGAGTAACTCATCCAAGTATATTCCCCAACAGCGAGGGATGGGATATATCTGGTTGGGGAAAACCCTGCGACCCGACGGTTAGGTCGGTGCAGGATCTTTCCAGCCCGCTAAATCAGATGATAGTCATACTAAAGTATAGATCATAATTCGTGTAATAATAATCCAACAAAATGTTTATTTCTGCCGAATTATATTATGAAATTTTGACTACAGTCCTCAAGTAGGTTAAATTTTTATTTTGTTAGTGTAGTATTGTCGAATAATGGAATGTATCTCCAATTATTCTCTCATATAAGAATTTTTGTTCCGCCCATACTTTCCAACCTGCATCCAACTCGAGCATATATTACTTTCTTTTTCCTATCAATGGGAATCGGTTATATCGTCGCTTTGCTACGTTGTCTAACACGCCCTGATTTTTCCGATATGTTTTCTCCAATTATGTAGCAATATCTATTAAATGATTCAGAATATCAGCATACAAAATTTCATACGCCCACGCATCATCATCGACGGGAGATACTGCTGTGTTCATTAGCGGGTTTTTGTACGCAATGTCCAGCCATTAAGATCATCACACTGTTGTTGCAGTCCTCTTGATTGCACATATTAATAATCACCTCGGCCGAGACGAATCACAATCATACTAGCATTAGGAAATTCAGTGCGATAAGCTTTTACTATCCCTCATTCGAAATCGCTGAACATTACAGAACTAGTTTATAGCAAAATGTTATTTTTGGTGTGCTTCTGAATTTCTGTAATGATCTTGGTATACATTGTTTCCTCTTTTGTGGACAGTAAGGTATAAACAAATGGGAAAGCGTGATCTTTCAATAAGCCGTGGATTGTAAAACTGTGTGTCATCACTCCTGGAGATAATTTAAATCTTCCATAAGCCATACTCCAGAGTGCCCCAAACGTCGAAGATCACCTGTGGCAATAATAGTCGAATCGATTATTTTTAAAATCCCGAAATCAGGAATTGTAAAGTTGTGAAAAACTGAATAATTAAGATCACAGAGAAATTTTCTCTTTTTTTAAAAAAAAATATGTTGCATAATTTTGTATTGAGAATGCTATGGAGACGTAATTTACTTGAAATAATAGTACAATAGTCGCTGGATGTATTTAAAAGTATTTAACCTACGGGGTTTCAAAAATTAATCAAGAATGTATTCACATACATCATACATAAAAAATTATTCGTATGACAGAAAAAAATTGTTTAAAATGTGTTCCTATGATAGTACATAGGAATATTCCCCTCCTACATTGTATTGATAACCCCTTTTAACCAATCCCAATCTCTCTGTCAGTGACATCTTTCAAACACACTGTATAGATGCATACATTCACAGTCATATATACCCCGAAAGTCAATGATCTATAAGAGATTAAAACCAAACCACTAGTTTCCTGCGTACACGTATACACTCTTTTAAACTGATTTACGAGATTTACACTTGGTCAGGAACGATGTATCTATCCTGCAGCTTCCATATTCTCACAAAAGACGAAAATATAATCATCATTTCCTCAGCTAAATTTTCAAAGGGCAAAAATCTTTCTCCTTTCATTGAAATAGGAAATTCTGAATACTCATAGAATGACAATATTACTCGTATTTTTCTTTGGTCGCCAAGAAATTTGACATAAAACGGAGCAGCTTTTTGCGCATTTTACGATTGTCACATTATCGGCAAGTTCTTTTTGTAGCATATACAGTATCTTTTTCCATTATATTCATTTTTCGTTATTTTACAAAAATCCTGGTCAAGAAAAATTAACTCCATCGACATTTTTGCTGAGTTATCTAGGCTATCCGGGGCGAGCAGCGTCGGAGTGTCGGTTGCAATTTTGTTAGCCATCCTATAAAATCGAATCTGTTGTTCGTTTACCGATACAAATAAGTGGACGACATCCTTCCAAACGAACATGGAGAACGATCATTTGAATAACTATATTACCCAGAGGACTCTAAATGTCGTGCTGAGTTAATGAAGTTATATAGTTACATTTATGTTCATAAACAAAGCAAAGGGTCATCTCACAATTCGCAGATTCGCACATTCAATTTTTACAATTATTCAGTCCAAAAGGTCATTAATACACTCAAAATCATTCTTGAAATCACTCGTCAATTAATAATTCTTTCCGGTTTGATGCTGGATACGAGTATAATCTGTATACAGTAAGCGTTATTCAGCAGAAATGATTTTACTTGTCACTTAAACTTGTCTATTGAATTTAATCCTTTAATACTTGTGGCTATGTGTTGTAAACACATGTCAATGTGTTGTTGTGTTGACGTACTTTTCACCGTACGTCGTATAATTCCTTTTACTCTATTTTGACGCAATAAATCAAATAACCGCGAGGTAGTGGCGTTATTTAGAGCCACACAGGACGGAAACTCTTGCTACCTATAGATAGAAGTCGTCATCAGCATATGAAAGGAAAAACGGAAAGCAATTTGATACGCAAGTTGTTCGAGTGTTTTATTCGTGTGATGAATAGGCTCAGATGATGTATCGTCTTTCGAAGAAAATAAGACAAAATGAAAAGAATGGATACACAACATATTCTGAGTCACTGTATTTTAAGGGGAGAAAGTTATTTTGTTTCTAATGCACAATTCACTGCTTGGTTTCCAGAGCAGTTTGGAAAGAATTCAAATTCTTATTTTTCATGTTTTGTGGGTGTGATTTATTGTAGAGAGTTCTGCTGCTGGTCGTGTTTTCGACTTCAATTATCGTAAGGCGTTAAGCACGTGACTTATGAAGAAAAGTACAATCAATTACGGTTTTCTTGAACACCGGAATCCCTACCACGTCTTTTTACTTCCTCTCCTCCATAAATACACAGTACAGAGAAAGAATTGCAATGTTGCGGAAGAAATCGGGCCCTGGAATCGAAAAAAAAGGATAGCTTACCCCAATTTGTAGTTAATTACGTTTTCTCTCTCACGTTGCGTTTTCAGGATCCAGATACAGAACAATTGATTGACGGCAAAAGGACTGTCTGTTAATCTGTCCGTCCGTCTGTTTGTAGTCAAAGCTACCATTCATACAATTGTCTCCGAAAAAGCTATGCTAAATAAATAAATACTACGCGATCGATCTGAACGAACTCAAGACCCTGCGAGATTGAAACAGATATTTTGGGCTTTGGTGCTACTTTCAATAATCCCTCAACATTTGCAATTTTGTTTTTTTAAGAATTGGATTCATTTTTGTATTGTAATTCGGATGGTGTAAAGGCGCTTAAAATTGCGCAGGTGTAATTTTCGTTGCAAAATCCGAATTTGCGACAATTGCAAAAGTTTAACATTGTTCGGCGTCTATATAAAAGTACATCATTGAAAATAGAGATATTTTATTCTTAAAGAAAGTTGTTCTTCAAAGACAGATCTTGAAACAATTTTTACATAAAAAAAAAGAATCTTCGCGTACCTTTAATTGTAATATTATGACTTATCATGGACCAAATATCCAGTGAAGTACTAATAACCTGGAGAAATTGGTACAATTCTTACTTTTAAACCTTGCGGCAGCTACTATGTACACAGTGCCTGTGACTCCAGTTATCTTGCCCGTGATTATGATCACATTATGCTTGAGCAACTGTTAATTTCGCCAAACGTCTTCAAATCAATCTTAACGGTCGTAATTTTGAAGAACGTAAAACTTTTGAAGTCTCGTTGCGTTTCATCGACACATTTGTGACAGAAATGGTGGTCCCTAAACTTGACGATTTGTCAAGAAACGTGCGTTGAATTGTCTGCCGCGTACATGGATACATTTTTAGGTTACAACGCGCTGCCATATTCGCTTCTTCAGAATACTGATGACGTTATACGCTACTAGTTTCTACGTTGATTGCAATTGTTTGTACATTTCCCGGCAGAATATACACTGAAGATCCAGAAAAACTGGTACACCTGCCTAATATTGTGTAGTGCCCCGCGTGAACGTAGAAATGCCGCGATATGACTTGCCATGGATTCGACTAATGTCTGAAGTAGTGTTGGAAGTAATTGCCACCATGAATACTACAGGGCTGTCCATAAACTATTAAGAGTACAAGGAGGGTGGAGATCTCTCTGAAGTTGGAAGGCATCCCAGATA